ACCCACACCCACACCCACACCCACACCCACACCCACCCACAGCCACACCCACACCCTCACAGCCACACCCACACCCTCACAGCCACAGCCACAGCCACAGCCACAGCCACAGCCACACCCTACTAAATCAATATTTGATTTAGATATTCATATATGTTGCGCGTCCTATTATTAGAATTGTTATATTATTAAAAAATCCATGTTTCAATGTTTTAATTATTGTATGTATAAATTTTGACTGCCTACCGTCGATCACCCACTTCGAACAGCGACAATTGACCAACAGCTGCCACGGCAAAATAGAAGAGAGTCTACAAGATAATATCATGAAAAGCTCCATAAAAAAACATTATCAATACAATCGGCACATTTGTCAAGATGACTGTATTGTCATCTTGAATAACTAGATATATATAAAGCAACTTGAGTCTATATAAGCATTGATCCAAAAGGTGAACGCCAACAATAATTTTGGCAATTGACATTGTTGACGACAATAGCAGTACAACAAATAATGAGGATGCTGTTCGTATATGTCACAGTTGCTTATCAATGAGAACTGTTGTTCTTTCTCCCAACGCAGATCTCAAACTACGAAGACCTAGTTGACTTTGAACAGATGGATTGCCTGGTTATCGCTAAATAATCACACTTAAGTGTCAACAGTTAGAGAGAAGGTTGAATGTGAGCATTGCCATCCATTTATCAGAAATAACAGTAATAATGTAAGATGTTTTAAATTATCAAACATCCTGTGAATTACATGCTCAGGTATAAAAGTAAAATAAACGTACATTAAACAAGTAACATGTTCATTGCCCAGCACCAGTGACTTCGGTCGTGAAGGAGTAAAGGTTTCACTATAGTTTAGGCATAGGAGTAAGGGTCAGTAATAGTTATAAAGGGTTATTGTAACAAATTTTTTTAATATGCATTGAGGTTATAAGATGGATAGTTAATTTGTTACTGCTGCAGCTTTTATTTTATTTGTGATCACAAAGAGAAACTGGAAGAATAGTGTTACCACTATCCTCGGTGTACATGATGTTAACGTTCTACACTTTTCCAGTTCTACATCGTTCCAGTTCTGCATTACAACACAAAGCACACGCTTTATATACGCGCACACAAGAGAGAGAGAAGAAAAGAAAAAGATATGATAGGCATAATCGCATTGCACTAATTACCTTTAAAGATGTAATCGTGTTACGCAAAGATATACGGATAACCTTAAGAAGAAGACCAGAGAGATTGATGATAGTAGTAGATTATACAACACTGATTGAGAATGACATATTGTATAACACACATAAAAAATTATTCCTCCTTTCTGTAGAACAGTCTCAGAGGATACTAAAGAGAAATGGACACGTTAATATGTGAACAATACAGGATGTCCATACATTATTGGCACAGTTATATATAATTACTTCTGAGGGGTTATATGTAGAAATAAGAAATTAGATATAGAACTAAGGAGTTACGGATAGAAAGAAGAGGTTAAGGATAGAAATATAGGGTTAAGGATACGAATAAGGAGATAGATATAGAAATAAGGGGTTAAAGATAGAATTATGGAGTTTAGATCTAGAATTAAGGCGTTAAGGATAGGAATAGGGGTTAAGGAGAAGTAAGGAGTCAGAGATAGAAATAAGCGGTTAGGAATAGAAATAGGGAGTTAAAGATAGGAATAAGAGTTTACCGATCAAAGAAAAATCGCGATCTAATCGTACATTGATCGCGATTTTGTCGCAAAATCGGCAAGAATCGCCATTTTGGACGATTTTATCGCGATTACCGCACGATTAATTGGCATGATAAATCATGATAAATTGTCGATTTTCGCGCGATTTTCATGACATGGGATATCCTTACATATTTTACCCTATCTCTCTATTTTCATACGTCACATCTCAGAAACGAATACCAAGATAAAGGTTCCTCCTTTCCAGATATTGCAATACTAATGAGAATTCGGGCAGTTTATTCACATTAGGTTCATTAGTTTCCGCCAAATTCTCATGTATGATGATTGGACAATGTGTATGATGAATGCACAAAGTTATACTTGCTGTAATAAAACAGCTCGATCCAAACTTTAATACGTTATCTTTAATGATGTATTCAAGTAAACATCATTTTCCAATATTTTCTACTAGGAATGTTTCACGTCAAACTGACAAATAACAGAGAATATGTATGTAATCTGACGTCATTTGCAAGAATGCACTCGAATAAGACTCACCCACGAAGAAAAAATACATTTGAAGATTTTTTTTCTCCTTCATTCTTTCACAATGACGGCGACTGCATGAGCAAAGTAGGAAGAAACGAGACGAGAAGAATGAAAAAACCCAGTGTGAAAAACATTCGTATAAACCGAACATACAACTGCAATTCAATGGCGATTGTAGATTTGGACAGACAAATACATAAGCGATAGATCGAATATCCGAACATCTTTGGAAATTGATTGAGTAAGATTTTTTCCTAAACTTACGTCTTCGGTAATCAAAACGATCATGTCAGAGAGTGGTATGCCTTTTATTAGTTTTTTTTTTGTAAGATTCATTGACTTTTGACTCAGAATCCTACATAAAGTCTATAGCCAGGCCATTTCACTCGAAAAATAGAATACTCAATGCCTATCTGTGTCGAGTATTCTGACAATTTATTTCATAACTTGTACCACCGTTTCTTAGCACGGTTTCTTCAAGCTATGAAAAGTCGATGCACTTTGCCGACATTTCTAGCTTTAGTGGACGTATTCCTAGTGTTTCGTTTCACCATTGTAGATTGTGTAAACGATTTCTCACCGAATTTTTCGCTTTGATTGTTTGTGCCTATACCTGATTAGGGACTCTTACAACCGAAATTATCATGGCTCTTCATCACAAGAAGGACGGTTCCTTGGATATGCGCTACAGCTCTTCAAGAGCGGTTGCTGCTTCGGCTGCTCAGTTCAGTCATATCAGTCGACCATCGAGTTCTTCTGAACTGCACTTAAAAAAAGATGGTACTTTAGACATGAGATATGCATCGTCAAAACAAATCTGTTCGAACTATGGAATACCAAAGAACATCCCACTTACAAATGCTAATATTCCTGATATGAGAACAACAGCTGCAAAGGAATGGGTCAAACAGCAAGCTCAACGTGGCGATGATGGAATTCCAGGATGGATACCCAAAACTAAAGATGATCGTCCTGATTTTTCCAAACCAATAGTAAAAGAATACTTGAAATGGAAGGATAGCAGTGTAATCACTTATGTTCCTGATAAACGATTAGCTTATTATCTTCAAAAACTACAAGACTCGTCCTTTCGAAACCTTGTGCAAAATGCAAGACGATATGAAGTTCAAATGCCACGCTATGTAATCTTGCCTGAAACACAAGAAATTCGGCGTCAAGTGTGCCGATTAACCAAAAATTCTACCACCGACGATGATGATTACGATATCTTTAGTGAAGTTTCAGAATCGGTTCCAGTGATTGATTATCGAGATTTAAACATCAATCCAGATGGTAAATTAGGTACAGGCGGATTCGGTATTGTCTACAAGGGCACTTGGAATAATCGGACTGTGGCAGTAAAACAATTACACTTGAATAAACCGACACGAAGAGACAAGATTTCCTTCGTGAAAGAGGTTAAAATCATGTCTATGCTAGGTGAACATCCAAATTTAGTCTCTCTGTATGGCTATGTATTGGAACCACCTTGTATCGTCATGGAGTATGTTAAATTACGTTCTTTAAATTATCTGCTGAATCATTGTCAAGATCCAACGATCGAAGCCACCATAACAGACGGTAGAATAAAGAAGAAAATTATTCTGAACGTTGTGCTTGGAATGATTCAATTGCATGCTGTCGGTGTTGTTCATGGCGATTTGAAACCGCACAATGTTTTGATTACCGAAGATTACATAGCTAAAGTGACAGATTTTGGACTTGCAACTCTGCGCGGAAAAACATCAGCTTCTATTGGCACTTCTGTCGCACCCTTTAACGGCGGTGGTCACGCTGTTGGTGGTACTCCCGCTTACATGGCTCCAGAACTGTTGAGTAGTTCGAAGCCACCAGAATTCTCCAGTGATGTATATTCATTTGGTATCATGCTGAACGAAGTTATTCAAGAGGAACAACCATATTCCGATCAACTTCGAAACTTTCTTAGACGAGGACCCTTTGCTGTCGCAAATTATGCCAGATTAGGTAATCGACCAAGAATTAGTGCGAGGACGCCAACCTTGCTTAAGAACTTCATCGAAAGATGTTGGCATCGTGATCCTCGAACTCGACCATCGTTTGAACAAATTTTTCACGATTTGCAACCGTCTAACATCCAATTTCCAGACTCTTTTGATTTATGAGCACTATTCCAAACCACTGACTATGAAGTTGTATGTCTTATTGTGACATTTACATCGTATTCACAAAAACGATTAATTTAGAATGATAAAAAACCGCATCATCACAATCTGTGACATATATTCTAACTCATTTGCTCGTTGGATATCAGTTCGAGAATAAATAGCGCACATCTGTCTCGCAAGATAATCCTCAAAATTTCCTTTGTGATGCTTGAGGAATCATGTCCGACGGCGCAGATTTCTCTCTGTTTAAAAACTCGAAAGAATAAGCAATTCAGAGTACCAAGGGTGTGGGTATGGGTGGGTGTGGGTGTGGATGGTGTGGGTGTGGGTGTGAGTTTGGTATGTGTGGGAGTGGGTGTGGGCGTATGGTTGGGCGTGGGTGTGGGTGTGGGGTGTGGGTGTGTGTGGGGTGTGGGTGTGGATGTAACTGAAGACAAGATAGACACCCACACCCATACCCACGCCGACACCGACACCGACACCCACACCTCACCCATACCCACATCCACACCCACACGCACACCCATACCCCACCCACACCCACACCCACACCCCGTTTAGTTTTTCAATTATACAATAATATATGTCATGCTAGTTTTCGTTGTTTATTTAATCCATTTTCGTAAAGACAAGTTCATAGGAAGTGTTTGACGAAATATACTGCTAAGTAGTAACAGAAGGCGTACAAGAAAAGTATAGGAGAATATGTTATATTTCTAAAAAATCAGGCAAGAACTTCTATATTTAAAAATCAATTTGTGTGACAGCATTATCGTAAAATTCACTATCCGATCATTTTGTATCTAAAAAGCTTTTTCTTTTATTCTCAAATTATGAGACGATGCGTTGGTATTTGAGTTCCAAAACTTAGAAGTTCAGTAAATAACTTTACATCTGTACGTACGTTGATACAGAAATCATTCGTATCTACTATACCATAAAACTTGGAGAAGTAATTACGGTTCCATTATATTAATAATTGATATGCAGCGAAAAAAATTAAGCATATACTGACGGATCTAGTTATCTTGATAATTCAGCTCTGACCACTTGCGTTTCTCACACTGCCACAGCGGAAACAACAGTAAAAATGATAACATCTTAAAATGAACACTCTTGTTGACTTCTCTTACTCAAAAAAAGAATATGATTTGATTGATATTCAATAAGTACATAGCAACAGATAATTATTTAGAAAAGTGAAGTTTTCTTTTTGTCTAATGAAAAAGTTTGATTATTGAGAAAAGATTCGTCAGTGAAACATAACAAATTGAGTTCTATCAGAATGTATTCTTTAAATTTTCTTCATAATGAAAGTTTGATGAAATGAGTGTTTTGAGAAAAATCATAAATTCTTTTACGAAAACAAGTACCTATAATATAATTTATAAGTTTGACTATATTATACACTCAAATGTGTTGGAAACAATACTAACTAAGAGAGAACTTCCATTTACTGCATTAGATACATTTTTTTTATCATGAAATGAATGTGGAAGACAATTCTGTAGAATAGAGTGTGAATGAGTATGGGTATGGACGTTGTTGTTCTTCTATGCATCATCCACACACTCACATCCACACCCTACGTTCATTACATCTCTTCTAGGCACTCGAAGTTCTAAGAAGAATGATTTTCGATCTGTTCAACATTCTAAAGTAATAGAAATTATCGAACATCTTTACATGAGAATCCAAAATGTTACATCATGCTTAATGCTCATCAAATGCTAGTTGAGGTTGATGATTTCATCCGATGTTATATCGAAGAAGTCGATACATTAGTTTGTATTTTTCTTGCTATAACTTTGTGTAAAAACAAAATATTTACTTCCACTATTATGAGAACTAAAATAAATCTCATTTTCTTATACGTATGTGAGTATCAACCAGATATCCGCTAGGTTATTATTGAAATTCAAAAGATCAATTTAGTTTAAAACAGAAATTTAAGTTAAATAGTTATAAATTTCCATTCTGTAAAAAAGAAACTTATACTAATATATTGTACAACTTTCTTCAAAATACGAAAGACAAAAATATAAAAATAAATAATGAAAATTGATATTTAATTATACCGTTCGTTCTCATCTTAGTTTCCAGTTAAAATATAGTTGGATAGTACGAGCATCAAGTATGATATATTCGCGATATTAACAAATACCTACATCCATGCCAACACTCGAATTAACATCGAAGCATTCCGAAGTAAACGCTCTTTCATATGTATTATAATGCCTTAACATCATGGAGAACAATTTTCATCAGTATGGTTTAAATCAATTATCATTTATTCCTTATTGTCTTTCACCTTCTGTAATGGATCAACCTATTTCTACTTGACCTTCTTTACAACTGCTTATAAAGTAATTCATTTTCTCTTTTTAAATTTTATTCAATCATTTTTTTCTCTTTCTATCAACAATCTCTTGTTTTATTTTATTTCTTCACTTTCGTATTTTCATATTTTTTCGGATGTGTGTGGACTCAAATTTCCGTCGATGAAGAAGTATGTTACAGACATATATCTTATATGCCTTCACACATTCCGTTCTTATCAGCATCTTTTTTGTTCTGTTTACATCCTTTGATTCTTTTTTTGTTTTAATTAGTATTCTTCCTTGGGGCATTCACGGAGAAAACGAATGTAAAGAAGAAATAAAAAGAAAGACACTTTAATGGATGCTAACAAAATGAACACAAATAATCGAGAAAAAAGTATCTTACATATTCAAAGCAACAATACGATTCGAATAAGTGTATTAGGAGTATTGTTCGGAATTGCAAAATTGTAGACCTGATGAACTCGAGTATTACGCTCTTGTCGACATTATATGTTTCTATATTTATGAAAAAATTCTACATAGCTTGTCTTTTTAGTTTCAAAAAAAATGTTTCATACAATTCAACGACAATTAAAAATATTTCTTCTAATCACATGTTACTATTTCAATTTCATAAGTGAGTTAGTAAATTTCTTCAAAAATGAAAATATAATGAATATTAGTTGGAGGTCCTGATCAATTTCGTTTGTTAGAATATCTATTGGCTAATAACCGATATAACCGAATTGTACGACCTGTTCAAAATGACTCTGACACATTACCGGTTACTATAAATTTGGCTTTGCAAAACATCATTGATTATGTAAGCGAGATTAAATATTTTTTTTTTCAGCTTTGAAATATAAATAGGATGAAAGACACGAAGCTGTTGTCATTAGTGGCTGGATGACTATCGTATGTATACTTAGTGATTATTAGGGATGCAATAGTGACGATGAGCCACCGGTTCAAACTGATAACTGTTTCATCGGTGTGACTGGTAGAGTCCATTGGGTCCAAGAATTTCTGGAACCGGACACGGATCCGATCGATCCAAATTTTTGGACTCGAACCTGATTGATTCATTTTTTTGTGGATCCTAACTAGAACCATACTCTTAAACCTCTTAATAAACTTTTCTACTCCGATTTTGATTGTTGCTCCGAAGATACGATATACTTTTAATTTTTTTTTTGTTAGATTAGTAGCATACTTAAGAGACTAAATTCATATTTAGTTTGAAGTTAATTCATGCGTAAATTAAATTATCGGTAATTTATTTTTCATAATTTATATTGATTTTTAAGTATTAATTACTAATAACTTATATCTATTCTAAATTGACAGTAAAATAGCATTCCTAAGCATATTCTTTAGGCAATCGAATAGCGATCCCATAATAATTAAATTACAATGGTACTCACTCCTATAAAATATTTTTTGATAGAAGAATGAATATATACATTACAAAGACTTTACATTATTTCCTTTATTTTACAATTATTCTAATATCAATAATACTTTGCTTTCTATTGAATCATCGACATAAAAAAAATAATCAAATAGTACGAATTTTTTCTAAAAAGAAAAAGAAGAAACTTTCCGATGTAACAAAAAAAAGGATGACAAGTCAATCACATTTTCAAAGCCAAAAAGTCTCGTATTTTGTTTTTATAAATAAAGGTTTTTTGAATAAAACGAACAAAATTTCAGAATATTCGTAAAATATCATTATGTCCATCAAAAAATCTTTTTGATTCGAATGCGTTGAATAAAAATTTTCAGAGCCGAATCCGGTAGACTCTAATAACCGATTTTTATCGGTAGTAGGGTAATACGAGTTTCTAGTGACATAAATCGGTCTATATCGGTTTTTCGAAATTTTGAATTGAATTTTTTTTTATAAGGGGAAGGGTCTTTTTCGAAAGAAAGCAATTGTTTATAAAGTTTGACAGAAGATGATCGGAATTGAGGAATTTGAATCTGCAATCAATTTTCGAAATTCTGAGCTTGATTTTTCTTCACAAAATCTCTTTTATGAAAAATTGTATTTCTATTAAAAAAATTAAACACCGAACTTCGAGAAGTCAATGATAGATTCGGATTTCTTCACCCCAATTGCCTTTGACCCAACGTGATAAAAAAAGCCTTTTCGGAACAAAAAACTCTAACTCAAAATCTGGAAAAAACAACTATACCCTAAGCCGCAATGGGTCAGTATAAACCAGTATTAGCCTAAAACTGGTTACCAATGGAGCTAGTCTCAGTAAAGACCGATTACTGGTAAGAATTGGTTATCGTCACCATTGCATTCCTATCTATAACATTTAATCTTATTGTTTATATATGTCTGTATAGATGTGGAATGATTATAATTTAAGATGGAAACCAGAAGAGTTTGGTAATATTCAAACACTACGAATACCAAGTAAACAAATTTGGACACTAGATATTCTCTTATACAATAGGTAATTATTTTTCAAAGAATAGATATTTCGAAAAACGATGCTTTGGTTTTTTTTAAAGTGCCGATGAAAATTTTGATATTACAATGAAAGTCAATGCCATTGTGCAACATAATGGTGATATACAATATGTTCCACCAGTATTATTCAAATCAATTTGTTCATTTAATATTGCTGCATTTCCATTTGTAAGTATAAAAACAAAATATATCACTCATATCGTAACTTTGGTCTTTTTTTTTGGATACACAATATTGTACGCTGAAATTTGGATCTTGGACATATGATGATACTGGTATATGGTTGAATCATAGTTTTTTTTTCTAAGATGAGATGCCAAATTTGTTGCATGTTATATGCTTTTTTGTATTACTTAGGAGTTAATCTGACGGCAGAAAGTAGCAAAGGTCAATTAGATGCATACGTCATAAATGACGAATGGGATCTAGAAGGTAGTCAATAAGAGTTACGTGCATTTTATTCTATTTATTCTGTTTTAGATTTCTCAGCAACGAATAATGATATCCCATACAACTGTTGTTCAAATGTATATCCATACGTATTATACACTATTCGAATGCGTCGACGTTCTCTTTACTACATTATAAATATCATTAGTAATAAAATATAAATTACAACATTTTTTTTTCTAATTTTTTTTCATTAATATTATTGTTTCTTTTTCGTTTCATAGTGCCTTGTTTTATTATTAGTTGTATGACAATATTTGGATTTTTATTATCACCAGATAGTGGTGAAAAATTAACCTTGCGTGAGTTAGAATTTGTTGATAAAAAATATTTGTTCTTATACATTGTAAATCTTCAGATATTACAACTCTTCTCACTGTTGTTATGTTCAGTTTACTTCTCGCAGATATTCTTCCACCAAGTTCAAATGCTATACCGATTATTATTGCTTATTTCATGTGTGTTATGATTATATCAGCAGTTTCAGTTGTTACAACAATATTAATATTATCAGTTCATTTTCGAAACTCTAAAAATCATACGATGTCAGTATGGGTAAATTATATTTCAAAATAAATAAATCACATGATTTCAGAAGTCATTTCAGGTTCGTAAGTATATTTGTAATTATTTAGCATGGCTATTACTTATGAAGCGTCCCGGTCATGATTTGAGTTGGTGTAGGATTCGTCGTCAATGGACTTCTCCAAAACAAGAATCGAATAATGTAAATAAATCGATCGATAATCGTCATTCGAAGATTTTTCCTGAACCATCATTGAATAATACATTCGAGTTGTTATCAACTAATGTTGACAAGAAACCTTCAGAATTCTTAGAAAATCAAAATACATCAAAAGAATTGTATACATGTGATATGGATATGATTCGTTCTGAGCTACGCGCTATTATTTCTCAACTTGCTATTCTCGTTAATTATTTTCGACAAAAAGACAAAGATGATGATCAGTCTCAAGATTGGCAATTTGTGGCAATGGTCATCGATCGTCTTTGTCTAGTGATTTTTGCTACAATCATGCTTCTTTTCACTGTACTTACTTTTCTCAACATTTAACTATTTTTTTTTAAACTTCAATTTATTTCTTTTTTATTTAGTAGTGAACCAATTCTTATCTTAATCTTTTTTTTTTAAAATATACATGTTTTAATAAACTCTATAGAGAAAATACTGGCAATTGTATACAAACTATTTGATGAATGATTGAGATAGCTATTGAAATTACAAACAGAATTTGATTAATTTCTGCAATCAATAAAAATGATTTCGAATATCTAAAGTTTTTCAAACAATCTAATTCATAATCATTCTGCGAATTTCTTAAGTAAAGATGCATTAGCTCTAGCATCCTTATTAACAATTACTATCAACGTCAAAACGTAATGAATCTCGATATTTTTTAAATATCTCGTGAACAAAAGCAGCTAGAAACTTGCGGTTTTTACCATTTGAAAGACAAAGTAATTAGTCAATAATCGACCAATCGTGTGAGCGCTCATAAGTCATTTTGAAGAGTGTCTAGGGAAACTATTTCTCCTTGGATTTTAGATTTCAATATGATCATTCGATGGGAAAAATTGTTCACTTT